ATTTGGAAATGAAATCGTTAAGAATTGATATCACGTTCGTCATCCCGAATAAAGATTTCGATCTCGATCATCATCTCGTAAGAAAAGAACCATGGATTAGTATATATATATATATAAAACCTTATGGTAAACGGTTGAAAGACGACTCGTTCGTTCTCAAAGCCATCGCTAGCTAAACTCTCTCCTGGCACGAAATGCGTGCCTACCACCGTGGTCGCTTACTTTTTTGCCCATGTAACTCTCATTTTGATCAATTTGAGTTTTTTACCGAAGCGGCAATCGTTGACTTTACTACCGAAGCCTCATCTCCTCCTCTTCCTCCTCCTTCCCTCCCCCCCCCCCTACCCACGACCTTTCTTCTCTCTTTATCTTTTTCTTTTGTCCCTCCACCTTTCTCTTCTTCACTGATTACCTTTCTCGGTAGTTCTCCCTCTCCGTAAAAGACGTGCACGCATACACGTGTCCGCATACATTAAAATATCTCATCTGCCGTCCCACGTTCTACGTACTCGATTCGAAGGTAGTCTGTACGAGTTGTGTGAGTCACTATTTCTCTCTTTCTCTTTCTCTTTCTCTTTGGTTTGCTTCCGTGACGTTCCGAGTTCCAACTCACAACTGGCATCACTCGTTGACGGATCATCGCCCGGGGGCGGCTTTGACACTAGCCGAATGCTTCCAACCGTGATAATAAATGCCACTATAACTCGTTCCTTCAGATTCTTACATCAAAGGAGAACTCAAATTTTGATACCTCTTGTCTCTAAGTAATTCATTGTTTGCATTATGAAACGTGTATTCGAATTATTATCCTACCACGATTACGAATTTACGTAAATTGTATTTAATAAATTGTGGGGTAAGAAAAAAAAGGAGATACGTTCGCGGTAAATGAGTTTGATTCCGATCAACAGGTATGTCGATTCATCGAGACCACCTTGAGATTGATTGATCTGACCGACGCGACGAGGGAATGAATCGACAAACAGAATTATATCCAATGAAAGTGGATCTCCACTCTCTCTCTCTCTCTCTCTCTCTCTATTATTATTATTATTTCTTTTCCTCGTTGTATATCTTAGTTGTTGTTAAAAATGACGGTCAAGCACGATACAGAGTCAGTTCATACGTTATGGATTGTAATCGATCGTAGAAGTATCGAGCAATATCGAATAGTATAATCCGGCATGGATTCCTTGGAAAGAATACAAATGACTTATTTACGAGTTTAGAAAGTACGCTAAGTCGTACATACATATGTACACGTTTGGAATAATTATTTGTTATTTTGTTACACGCGCGTAGTACTAGTCGATGAATTGAAATTTATAAAAACACGTTAATCTATTTGAATAAATATATGTGATAATAACCGGTGAACGTACGTTATTATCTCTTAGGTACACGGATAATTGATGATCTTTCGCGGATCGTTCATCCACGTTAACCATCATCGATAATCTCTAATGACTCTGAACCAAACGCGCATCGCCATAGGGTATATTCCATTATTAAATTCATCGAATGAAAAGCATCTATTTGAACAATTCATTTTCAACAACACGACTACTTACCTCTCATCGATATAACACTTTTAAAAGTACTCTGTGATTGATATCAATTAGTCTATTAAAATTCACGGAATAAGTGAAACTCATAATATAACTATTTAAATAGTTTTGATATAACATTCGATTAATAACACGATACAGTTTATCATCGCGTTAACGATCTTTTATTGGTTAAAAGTTATTTTTTTGTCTCGAATCTTTCTTACGAGGAAGCGGCACAAATAAACCGTACAAAGAGATAGAATTTAACGGCGGCAAGGCTTAAGGGCATTTCATATATATATATATATTCAGCGTGGATAGATCTTATATACTCTCACGATGAAAAAGAAGTTGAGTAGTACTACAAACGCACCCGCGGTGATGATTAACAACCAGTCCAACTTATATCTCCGTTGGTTCCTCGACCAGAATGAAGGATAAAGATTAGAGGTGGGGATAATCGATTAATTTACGATAACCAACGCGCGCCGCTCCTCTCACGGCCATTGTTTGTTGTTAATTACACAGATACATCTAATCGAGAAGCATCGATCGAAAATACCGACTATGATTCGACGATACAGTCCAGTATCCGGTCTCTCCAAAGGATTTGAATGTTCCTTTGACATAGATATCGGTCTCGATATTTAACTATATAAGTATATATATATATAGATACGTCGAATTCCGATCAGTGCAAGTTTCCCTCTCTCTTTTTTCTTCTCTTCTTATCTCTTCCAATCGATTTCTCCTACTCTTTACTCTCCAATTACCTCTCCTTTGTTAGCAATTCAAAATATAATTTATATACTTTCGTTTAAAAAGTACCAGTAAAGATAAGTGAATCGAATAAAAAGGGGGGATTTCGATATATCTATAAATGATAAATGTGATCAAACTGGGTAAAATTGTTAACGATTACAAAATGTTCGATAGAAAAAGAGAAAGAGAGAGAAAGAAAGAGAAAAAAAGTGTAGTCACTGATTGGTGGGGAGAAGCGAGGGTGGAGATGGTTTCGTTGTGCTCGATGGTGTGCGTCACGTTAATTAGTCGGTATTAGGACGGTGAGTGTTGAAGGAGGCTCCTCCCTCTCGTTGGCACGTACCTAACCGGAGAGAGATGAATCGATTACTTAACACTTGTCACGCCTCGCTAATTAACATTCACTCATCTTCTCTCGGTCGTTCTTTCCGAGGTTTCCCCTAGCCCCCCACCCACACCCTACCCCACTCCCACCATTAAAAATCATGGATAAACAACAACCGCGGCGGGGCGACGAAGCAAGGCGACGTAGCCAGTTGGAAAGTCGTTTAATATTTATCGACCATCGCTCGACCCCGTTGGCACCTCGAGGGAGTCTCGACACTCACGTGGACGGCAGGTAGCCTACCTGTGCACTGCCACGGACAAATTAGAATTCGTCACGGCTGCTATTGCCGTGCGACGATTCATGGAAAATATTAGAATACACCGTCGTCGTTGTTCGCGACTGCGATTACCAACGGATAAAGAAGACTGTTTATCCTTCATCGTCTTCGTTGTCCTTCTCCTTTTCCTTTTCCTTTTCTTACGTTTGTGTGTGTCCACTCTTAGCGAAGCTCGAACAACACTACAATGTTTCTCGTTTCGAATCTTATCTATACATTCGATCTTCAAAAGCATCGACGACGACGACGACGACGACGACGACGACGACGACGACGACGATTTAGCATCGTCCGATGCACCTTTAATCGACGCGTTAACACACCTACAGATAAATCTTCATCTTATCTCTTAGAAGTTTTCATCGCGAAATAATTATCAAGTCAGTCTAAAAGTTCGTGTGGTGTACACACCACTTTCCAAGCTAGGATACTTTTCTAATCACCTTTAAATGACGAAAGATTGTCCCCCATGAGATGAATGTATCTTTTCTCTGATCTGATCGACTGTTAAATGTGGCTCTAATTTCACAAGATTTTTAAGTTAAGTTTTAGTTATCAAAATCGACATACAATGCTTGTAATGCGCACGAACTTTTCTACTGACCTGATAACACTTTTACCTGTCAACCTAATCTCACTTTCTTTGGGAACGAGGAAATTAAGAATATAAACGCGTTCGCCAATCGGTCGTCGGGTGGTCCTCAAGATATCTAATGAAGCCATTAACACGCGCTGCACTATCGAAGAAACTTCGAATAACGTTTATGACACCAGATGACCTACCTTTCCCATTAGTGTTAACCACACGTTTGCTAGCAAGACATTCGTCGAGTTTGTCTGATCTCGACTCGTGTGCCAGGTGTTCCATTACTTCTTTTATCTACTCGCTTGCCACTAGCTATCTTGCATCATCGACTTAATCGTTATAGATTACTCTATTCGTTACGATATATCCAAAATTAGGACGAAGAAATGATTTCTTTTTTTTGAAGTTATACTTTTCTTGGCGCGTTTCGGAAAGTGAAGTTAGATGCGACCGAAAAAATCGACACCACGAAGTTGGGTCGAAATATTTACGATGCGCGGGCAAAACGATTTGAAATTTTACTTCTCAAGCGGTCACCCATCCAAGTTCTAATCGTACTCAAACGCTGCTTGACTTAAATGATCGAGCAGGAACTTGTGCTGTCACTGCGCCATGCCTGTTGATGCATAAAAGTAATTTGATATAACTCTCTTATATTTAATGTGGACTGATATCTATATTTTGATATTGTTGACCAGTATCAATATACATTTAAATTTCTATTATTATAAAAATATATCTAAAAAGAAAGTATCCATCACATCAAAACAATGTTACGCTAAATAAGTATAAGTACATAAGTGCACGCATCAGTTTTTTTACTTGAATATTTTTACTCGTGTTAACGTTACGAGTTAGACGATAAGCTAAAGATCGGGATATTGAAAAAGATTTTGCTCGACAAAATCTTTTTCAATATCGATATTCGATATTGAAAAAGATTTTGCTCGACAAAATCTTTTTCAATATCGATATTCGATATTGAAAAAGATTTTGCTTTGTCCTTCGTCTTGGTAAATCAATTACCAGAAGAATTTTCGCGATATTTGAAGGAAGAAAGAAAAATAAAATAAAAATTATGCATACCACTATAATATACCTTTGTAGGCAATTACCCTAAGATTGCATCCAATCATAATCATTTTCACGCTGTCGAGGATAATCGAGTATATCAGCGAAATCCTTTTCTCTCTTTCTTTACCAGTTAGTTCGAAGATCTCTCAAGGCCACATGCAAACGCGGAGTTAATGGCCCGTTAAGTAACGATCGACCTATGGATACCTCTACGTAGAAAATCGCGAGTTTGCAAGGCGGCTAACAGTATCGATTATCGAATAGAAGATATATAAAATTAATATGTGATTGGTGGGAGGGGCGGGGGGAAGGGAGGGAGGTAATAGAATATCGCTAATCAAGAATACGTCGTTTCTGCTGCAGATTCGTGCGAGCTGCTTGTGGAGCGACCTTACGGTGAGTGACTCACTATCTCAATTTCCTAGAAATTACAAGACAGTACTTACGATTCGAGAAAAATAACGCGAAACCTTCTATTCAGTGTCTTCCGTGAAAAAAAAAAGAAAAAAAAAACAAAAAAAGATCCTTCCTATTACGCTCTCAGACTCGGATCGTTTCCATTTGGACCTCGTTTACCGTTAATTTCTCATAAGACTCTTGCGAAATAAGATACACGCTATCAAGCAGTCACCAAGAGAAACTGTCTGTGTTTCTTTTTATTTTGTTCTTTTACTTTGTCTACAATAGAGAACCAATCATCATTCCCGAATAGTTTCATCGTGTATGTATGAAAAATAAATAAATAGGGATTAATCAGTGAAAAATTAGAAATTTCTCCATCAGAATGAAAGTGGATTTTCGGATGAACCCCAATGACGACGACTATACTCGAGAACTCGTTCATCTCCATTCTGATATCAAACCGCTCGGAGCCATTGGGTAGATATAAAAAGTCACGTTGCATCCGGCCGCTTGTTTCTCTATGCCCGGAGTCGTAAAATTCAACGTTATGCGATTCGGGGCCTGTGTTTTGTCCCCCTTTCCGAGATTATGATTACCCCAAGAACGGCGGCGGCAGCAGTGGCAGCAGCCACCGTGGCTAATATCACGCAATAAGCGTGCTACCTCCAAGAAAGTCAGCACTTCTCACTCTGTCTATCTATCTCTTCCTTCAGGTAGGTATATAATATGTGCCACCAAACTCGATGGCGTAAACGGTTATCTGTTGGAAACGCGCGTGGATGGGAGACTTGTGGTAGTAGAATAAAAGAAAAAGGATGAGAAAGAGAGAAGTAACACAAAGGACGATGGTCGACGACGAATCATCAAACGTGCCGCGAGAACTCTTTCTCTCTCTCTCTCTCTTCTTTATATTATATATCTATCCTGTTTCTTTGTCTTTCTCAAGTGACTTCATCGTACGACGATTTTACGTAAACTTCAAACGAACACGCATACATTTCATATTTAAAATGCAAAATTTTCATTGTAAAATCCATCGATGATTCCTCCCCCACCCCCATTGTCTTATCAATCGAAATGTGCATTATGATTTTTAAAGTTACACTCGTTCATTTATTCAACTCCAAAACAATAGACGTATATCGGAATTTAACGTGGACAAAATTTAAGGGGGGGCCAAAAGAATCAACAGGTATTGGTTATGAGAGTGTAAAGCGTTTTGAATCGCAACCCCTCGAGGGTAAGAATCTGTTCGGCGCGAATCTCATTGTATAAAAGGGCCGAATCTCCTCCGCGGGGGGTAACGTACGCTTGTACACTCTCTCTCTCTCTCTCTCTTTCTTTCCTTCTCTATTTCCTTTTCTCGCTTCAGCATGCACGCAGGGAAAGATCAAGCGGCTGGTAGTAGGACGTGTTCTCGAGGGGGGTGGGGTCACGACCCCATGCCGGGGGTGGCTGACAGCCGATTAGGGCAAGACGAACCCTCACGGAAAACTTAAAATAACATCGCTCGATCATCCGGGTATCTTCACCGACAGCCGATGGGCCTTTCTCTTTCTCTCTCTCTCTTTCTTTCCTTCATACTTTTACCTTCTTTCCTTTTCCTCGAGCCACCCTTCTTCTCTTTCTCCTCTCTTCCAATCAGTTGCCTTGCTCGAGCTCGTTAGTGAGTGGCCACGCGTCCAAATTTCGTGACTTCCTGTTTGAATAAATATTCGATCTGAAAGAAAATCGTTTGTCGAAATTATATGTCCGATAAATAATAATCGATACTTGCAATCGAATATTTACATTTATTTCAACAACAATTCAACGAACAACAATTTCCATTTGTTCGGATTTATCACGATTAGAACACATTCGTGCATAAAAATCTATGAGAAAATTTCGATAAAGACTCGAACAATGATATCTCGAATAAAATGCTTAAAAAAAATACACTGGTCATACGCGACGATTAGATGACGATTGTCGTTGAGGAGAGGAAAAAAAATAGATGGGACACCATTATTCCTAAATTGCATTTCCTTTCGCCAAATTTCTTTCCAATTCAGATACTCTCATTAGCGAAATCCTACCGATGCTTTTTTTCTCTCAATCATTTACATATTTATATTAATTTCATTGTTGACATTGAACATTGATTGATTTGTTAAAAAGAAAATAATTTGTAAGCAAGAAAAAAATTCTTTTTTAATCTCGCGTAAAATTTTATTCGACGAATTCGATTAGATTTATCGATCAATGTCAAAATTATGGGAAATTCAGTAGGAACGAAGTTGAGCACCTCTTCGATGCTCATTACAGTGTGTCCCGCCCCCGGCGGTGGGTAATCAGGGTGTGCGGGGTGAAGAGGGGTGCGGGGGCGGTGGGTGACCTCGCCCGGGGCCTTTACTCTCTTCTTCTCTGTTCCCTCTTTCCCTTCCCCCTACCCACTTCTTCTTCTCCTCTTCGCTTGCCCGCTCGTTCGTTTGTGTGTGTGTGTGCGCGCGTGCACGCTTTCTCTCTCACTCTCTTTTGTTTTCTTTTTTTCTCTTTTTCTCTCATTCTCTCCTTCGCACCTTTTCGTCCACGACTACCTGCCAAGGTGGCAACTTAAGAGGAACCCGAATAACGCGGACGACCTTGTCGATACTTTGCATTCGTTCTGCATTCGCGTCAACCTTTTTTCCCTCCCCCAGCAGCCCTTCTCGTTGTCTTTCATTCGAAATTGGAGGAAATCGTGCGTGTATACGCATACGACATAGAACAAGAAAACCCTTCACCAAAACCCTTCGACGATTACTTTCGCGCGAAACGTAATGTGAGAAAAAGAGAAAAAAGATATAATATAAATGTATTTTAACTTTTTTTTTTGTCCAATTTATTAGATAGGTAATTATATACCCTTCAGTGACCCATTCTCTTGTAATTTAACATACGCAAATGAGAATATTCGAAAGAAAGAGAATTTCGAGTGACCTAGGCTTAGGATTCTCCTAGAAGAACTTTCGACGGATGTGCTGGTAAATAATTAGATTCTAGTGATGGGGAGGGAGGGAGGGGGAGGAGGAGGGAAACCGGTGCCCCTATGCAAGGATTCTCAACTTGAGGATCCCGATGAATAATCGTCTGATGTTTCGATTAACACAAATTTCAATTTAATCTCATGCAATTATCATTTAATATGTTTCTAATGAGATTCGATAAAAGTATATTTAATGAGTATTAGGTTGATTTAAAAAGGAAGATAATTAAGTATAATACATTTTGTCCGTTATTTATCGGAATATAAAACGTGCACTACGATCGTTGTTGATCGTTCATTCGATCCCGTTAGTAGTAGCTTCTTTCTTTCTTCCATTCTTTCTTTCTTTCATCGGCAAACGGCGTGTGTGTTTCTAGATCTCGTTTGCTAAGCGAAATAAGAAAAACGTTGACGCCAATCGTCTTAGAAACGCCTCGCAAGTTTTTTCCGACATCTCACCGGCTAAGGACTTTGCAAGTTCAACTAGTCGAAGATTCAACGTCCCCAAAGGTTCATTTCGATTCCGTAACTAATGAATGTAATACAAGGATCGAATGAACTAACGTAAATAAAAATAATTCAATAAAATTTCATGACCTGTAATTGAGTTATATTTCCCCCACGAAATAATGACAAAAAAGTAAGAAAGATTTCTGAATTTTCGAAATAGTAGCCTAATACAAGGATGCAGAAGATGAAAGACATAATATGGATCTCGTTAACACCCTAGAGAAAATGCTAGACAGCTTCGTTCACCTTATCTCGAGATGGATCTATGAACGCATAGTACAACGTCTATTCACCTATAATACCTTCGTCTACCTAATATCGAAAATATGTCACTACAAAGATCTTAGGTTACCTGAGTTCAACATAAAGAATCTTACCGTTATACATACCAAAAACGAGAATATAATAATATCATTCGATAATCCATTAAATAACGTTGTTTCAATAATTTATTCGATCTTCATTATATCTAGAATAAAACAAGAAGAATAATAAACAACTCGAATGACTTGTTCGTAATAATTGTTAAATAAACTCGAAGAAGTATGAAAAAGTAGTACTCGTCTATCTGTCTGTCTCTTCATTTCCGGAGAAACAAAACTCGAGGAAGAAAATTTGATGATAAATCCACGAGAACGAACGAACGAACGAACGAACAAACGCGTGTTGTTTATTATCATTCGAATCGTTGAATTTTTCCCCATCGTTTTCAACGTAATTTCTCTATACGGGAAAAGAGATGATGCTCGTGGATCGCCGATAAAGGAATACCGAATCCTGTATTCATGAATGGACGAACGAACGGACGGACGGACGGACGGGCAGGCAGCCCAACCGGGCCGTGCATGGATCGAACGAGATCAGTCAGTTGGAAGGACTATTATTTAGCATAGCCACTTTTTCTGACCGACCAAGTGAACCGATGGTCGGCGTTGTCTTTGTATCTTCGAACGAACCGATGACGTTGCAAAGACGACGACGAAGATGAGAAAAGGACAAAGAGAGAGAAAGAAAGTGGGGGGGGAGGTAGAAGAAGAAGAAGAAAAAGGACTTCGTTCGAGGAGATATCTGGAGCAGCACCATGAGGAGGTTGGGTCTGCTGTTCGTTGTTGCTAATGGACGGGACGACACGACGCGAACGCTTTATTATCGTAATTTTGCTTCTATTAGTCGCGACCGAACAAAATTGTCCACCGTGTCGGTAAAATTTGGCTTTGGTCCGTTTTTTTGATCAACTATTAACCAACCTACGTGTTGTGTGTGGTTCATTGTAATAAAGTTTTGAATGAAACGACGAGTTTTTCTCCCATGATCATCTTAATAATCTAAAAGTCCGTGCATAGAGTTTAGCTGTATAAATCCATAGTTGTGCATGCACACACACACACACACACACACACTCGTAAACCGTAGCCCGTAGGTAGCGTGAAACGAAAAGAATTCGATCCGATCTTATTGGAAAGTGGGTCGAAATCGA